TTACAGTCCTCTTTTGTTGCCACTTTCACGTAAAATGAGTTCATATACAAAGATTAATAATTTTTCAAAATTATGAATCTCTTTTATATAAGACAGAAACAAATTGAAGGGAGCAATTGCAACATATATTTATTATTGTAGACCTCGGCTGAATTTTGTTATTTACCTTTTTCTTTGTTGTGTTACATTGATTTTCGACTCCCAACCAGAGTTTGTAAGAAACGGGGGTAAAACGGGTGCGGTCCCACGCTGATGAAACGCACAAATAGGGAAAGCTCATATGAAGCTCAAGTGGAATTCCATCTCAAAATCAATTGGTGGAAAGAGAAGTAGCTCATTACACTTATAAGATGTGTCTAGTTTTCATGTATAAACCATGTGAGACAACTCACAAGTGATATTCTAACAGATTAATGAGTCCAAAGCTCGAAAATATGTATTTTATATAATTTATATAGTTTGACTCATTAAAATTTAATTTCAACTAATTAATATTGATAAACGAACCTAATTTGACTTGAGCGGACCTACAACTAACTTGCCAACACACGTTAAAGAGCATTTGAATTTGAACTTTGGCTTCAAGTTACAAGCTGCTGCAACTCAATTTACAACTTGAATATTCCTTTTACTGTACACTTCACAAATGAATCTCTCTCCCAATTTTAAAGAGCTTCCAAAACAGTTAAATTAAATAAATAAATAAACAATCAAAGATGTGTTTATTTATGCAATCCATACTAAATTCATACTCAAAATTTAACTCAACTTCACTATTTTCAATATTATCAATATAATTAAATAAAACAAATAAATCATTTTTACATATTAAATCAACTTTAATTCACTATTCATTCACTCACATAATTTTAACTATCACTTCACATCATTCTCTCACATACTTTTACGTTAAATCAATTTTAATTATTTTATCTTAAATATTATTTTAATATCAACTCAAAATTCCACTAACAACTTAAGCAGATGTATTTGTTCAGTTCAAATCTACACGGCTAAATCCAGTAATCCTTTTCAAACCTTTCCCCTTGGCAACGTTCCCTATACGCGTGACTTCATCCCACCTTCCTTCTCCGGCATACATATTCGAAAGCGAGCAATAAGCACTCGTGTTCTCCGGGCCCACATCCAACAGCCATTTCCCAACTCTCCCACCCATCTCCAGATCATCGTGAACCCTACAAGCTGCAAGAAGAGCCCCAACAGTCGACACATTCCTCCTTGAAGGGGCCCGTTGCAAAATATCATAAGCCTCTTCTAACCGTCCGGCCCGGCCCAACAAGTCCACAACACAGCCATAATGCTCGTCTGAAGGCACGAGTCCGTATTTTTTCTCCATGGACTTGAACACACGCAAACCCTCCTCCACAAACCCCGCATGGCTGCAAGCCGAGAGTATCGATTTGAACGTGACCCCATCAGGGGCAAGATCGTCTTTTTCCATCTGTGTAATCAGTTTCAGGGCTCGGGCAATGTCTCCATGCATGCCGTACGCGGATATCATGGTGTTCCACGTCGACAAATCCCTTTGGCCCGTTTGCTCGAACAAATCGCGGGCCGTCTCGAATTTTCCCCATTTGCTGTAGATAGTGATGAGGGAATTCTTCACCATGGTCGTGTCTTTTTCTTGAAATAATCGGTACATTCGGCCGTGAACTTCTTTTACCAGCGTTAAAAAACCGAGCTTGTCCAATGCCTGAAGCAAAATCGTGAAAGTAACGCAATCGGGTCGCGTATTTTCGTTTTGCATCTTTAAAAACAGGGTTATTGCGTTTTCAGCAAGGCCGTGGTTCGAGAGGCCCGTCATCATCGATGTCCACGAAACTCGATCTCTGAACTGCATTTTATCGAACACTTGTCGAGCGTAACCCATGAAGCCACATCTCGCATATGTGCTTATAAATTGATTTCCTATGTCGGTATTTGTTTCAAACCCCTGTCTGAAAACATACCCATGAATGCTCTTGCACGAGCGTAAAGCTTCCTTACCAGACAATGAAGAAAGAACGTAAATTATGGTACTTACATTCGGCCGAACATGCTCGTTTTCGTTTATCACCATTTCACAGAATATCTCAATGGCTCGGGAAATAGATCCGTTACGTATATAACCGGCAATCATAACATTAAATAAAGCATCATCTTTATTTTCTGTCATGTTGAAAATATTCACTGCTGCAGATGAATGCTTACATTTAGAATACATGTCGATTAATGCAGTGCTACAGACGAGATCAAGATGCACCCCTTTTCTAACCATGTGACAATGTATACTTTTTCCGGTAAGCAAATCGCACAAATCCGCGCAACTCAACAACCCATTTGCTAAGGCAATCAAATCAAGCTCAAGCTCGCGTTTTTTAACCATTCTGCAGAAAAGTTTGAAGGCTTCCAATGGTCTTCCCGTTTGAAGATGACCCGTTATCAAAGCATTATACGAGCCGGTACTCTTTTTGCTCATCATGTTAAAAATCATGGCACCACTTTCGAGATAGCCGCACTTTATATACATATCTAATAAACTCGTTTCGAAGACTTCATCTCGAAAACCAATCTCCTTCCTAACTGCAAATCCATGAATGCATTTCCCTTCTTTCACTGCTCCCAAACGTGACGCGCATTGAAGTAAACTCACGAGGGTTACTCTATTGGGATCAAACCCATCATTCTGCATATTGCACGCGACTCGGAAAGCCTTATATGTTTGATTTTGACGACCCCTAACTTGAGCATAAGCCGTCACCATTGAAGTGTAAACAACCAAATCCTTTTCAGTAATTTCATCAAACACTTTGGCTGCATCCACAATCTGATCACATCTAGCGTAAAACTTTATCAGTGAGGACCCCACAAATGGATTACAACTCAATCCGAATTTAACAGCATCCGTATGTAAATTCCTTCCGAAATCATGAGCTCCCAGCTCGGCAACACTTTTCAGAGCAAATGTGATTGGTAAACCATGAATCCCGATGTTTTTCAGCCTCAAATTCAAATAAGTTGCTAAAGCTTCATCGTATTGATCAGCTTTGAAATATCCTACGATGATTGGATTCCATGAAGAGGGATCGTCGTATGAAACCCGTTTAGATTCTGTCGAAAGATCAAATTTTGCATGGGAATTGAGACCGCGTTTGATCACGCAAGCTTGCAGCTTTTTCAGAGATTTTGTATCCGGACAGCTTTCCAAATGGGAAGCAAGTTTTTCTACAGTTGAGGTGGAGAAATATGCAGCAGACGATTTGCGTGAAGTAAAAAGATTATGTTTTCCTTTTCTCAGTGATTTTAGTGACCCATATGAAAGTTGATTCATAGTTTGTGAAGAAGAAAGTGTCAAACTAGCTGATGAAATTCTTGGAAAATCTAAGCTTATAAAGGGTTGCAAAAAGGAGCCGAATTAAGTCGAGCATTGGTCGAGGTAGGATCGATTTTGTTTTTAACAGCTGCTCATGCGCTTAACTTGACTCAACGAAAAAACTCTTTAACACTAGAGAACGATTCGAAATTTCAATTAAAAAATATCTAGGTATTATGTAATTTTACGATATTCAAGCGACTTGTCCAAACAAACCACAAACTCGAGCTTTTGAAGTTTGTGCTCGAGCTAGACTCCTCAATTTGTTTGCAGCCTTGGTCATAGATACTCAAAGGCCTCGTTTACTAGGGTTGATAGGATATGATAAGGTTGGTTAAGGGAAAGGACCATTCTTATGTGGCATGTGGGTCTCCCTTCATTAATCTAATGTGGAGGGATTGTTTTGTCCGCTCATTTTGGGCGGATATTTTTATCCCCAAGTTTGAGTTCCAATTCTGGACGGATATTTATAAAATATTAAGTTAAATAATTTTTATTTAATTTAAAATAATATTATATATAATCTAAAATAATTTTATTTAATTTAAAATGATATTATTTAATCTTTAAAGTATTAATTTAATTAAATTTATTTAATTTAAAAAATATTTTTTAATATAAAATTATTTAATTTAATTTAAAATAATATTATTTAATTTATAAAATTATTTTATTTTATTCAAAATAATATTTTTTAATCTATAAAATATTAATTTAAATAATTTTATTTAATTTAAAAAATATTGTTATATACTACCTTCTTTTTCTTATAAATGTCATTTTGGGTTTATCAACAATTAACTAAATAAATGACGTTTTGGATCTTTTGTACATATTTTTCCATTATTGCCCTTATCTAGCTAATAAATATACTACGTCTTTTCATATTCACTCTTCATCCTTTCTCAAAACATTCACTTCTATCCTCATTAATGAAGGTTATTATTGGCAAGAAAAATATTTTTAATTACTGTGCAACTTCTCAAGATGACACTTATTAAAAAAAGGAGGGAGTATTAAATAATATAATATAATTTAATTTAAACTAACATTATTTAATTTAAAAAATATTAATTTAAATATTTAATTTAAAATAATTTTATTTAACTTAAATAATATTATTCAATCTATAAAATATTAATTTAATTAATTTTATTTAATCTAAAAAATATTGTTTAATATTATTTTCTTTAATTTAAAATAATATTATTTAATTTATAAAAATATTAATTTAATTAGTTAAATCGATAATTTAATGTATTTATTATAGACTTTTATCCACTTTGGTAAACATGTGACAATTTGTATTCAAAATCTGATGTGGCAAATTGGGGGATTAATTTGTCCAATCCCATCATCTCTAGTAAACGAGGAAAGGTGATTGATTCCTATGGGAAAATAAAAATTTCCAATTTGCAAAAACACCCCCTCAAAGTTAGAAAATAATGTGATTTGATTAAAATATGAAGTGTACTTCTGAAAGACTGTAACATTTTCCTCTCCTTGCTACCATCCTGGACCAAATGTCACTTAAATTTCCAGTATGTGGTAACACGAAAAAAAAAAAAATTCTGAACCTATAATCTTTCACAAATAATTTTAGATATTTAGAAAAAACAGAACCAAAAGGAGGCAGAATAAAAAGTCCATGTTCTTTCTGTTTCTCCCTTACCTTGTAATATAATAAGCACACACCACAAAAATATATGAACAAAATGGTTTGCATAAAAAGTACACTGTCCCAATCTCGATGGAGTTAGATGAAAACAAACCTCAAGAAAAACAAGAATCTATACTATATACCTCTACAGCCTATTCACAAGAAACTTTGGGCCCACAAAGCCCATTAGCAGCAGCAGCAGCACACCTCTGCCTCTTTTTCCCCCAGCCCATAAGCCCGATCTCTTGGGCCCGGCCCGAACCAACTGCCTCCAAACCCCTCCTCCTTCTCCCGCAGCTCCTTTCCGGCGGGCCCCACCTCATCGGCCTAGCCCGCCGGGCCCAACCACCCTTCATCAGCAGCTCCTCGAAAGCCTGAAAATCCTCAGTCACCTCGACTCGAGACAGCGTGACGAGGCCCGGAAGCACGTCCCTCTGGAAATCTTTCCTCGACCACCGCCCCTTTTTGCACCGTCCGGACGATTTTGCCCCTCCTCCGCTCGCATTTTCTTCCGGCCCACGCAGCAAGTTATTTTCAGCTTCTTCCTCCTCTTTCACTTCCTTCAATCTCAGAGTCGCGTACTCGAAGTAATCCATTCCGTCGGGCAAGGGCTCGGGCTCGGGCTCGTGGGCCCTACTTTGGCCTGCAAGGATTATTATGACATCAGCTAGCCACGTCAGACGGTCGGGCGATGGAGGAGGAGGATCGCGGGGATTTGTTATTTCAGATGATGATGATGACATGGCAATTATGGCATCAGCTGCGATTTTAATATCGCGTTCTTCTTCGTCGGGATTATAATTCGGGTTTGGATACTGTTCGGGTTCGATAATGGCGGGAGCCTCTAAATCGAGCTCCATGGACAAGTTGAGGTCAATAATGTTTGAGTTACTTAATAATCTTTTGTTGTGGGCAGTGTCCTCTGTCTGAGTGGCATTTTCGACATCCCGAGATATGTTTGGTGGCAAGATTTGGTTTTCTGGCTCCAAATTCGGAAACTTGCCTTTCGCCGCCACGCCAGCTTTTCCGAAAAAATTCTCCGAGTAACTCTGCAATGAGTCAAGGTTCATGAAATATGATGAACTCTTCTTGTTTTTGCTTGTATCACAAGTATTTTGTGGATTCTTAAGAAACCACGGTAGATCCCGTTTCGGATTTCTTGTGCTACTTGTAGAATCTTCCGGGTTCGAATTCTCGTAACATTTTCTCAAAATATTCTCGGTATGCTGACATGGCACAATTCCGAAATTTACTCCGGTTGAATTCTGGCTTCGCAACCAATTTCGGTTCATGTCCAAGTGGTGGGAAAACCCATTTTCCCGTGATATTTTGCTATTTAAATCTGCGCTCGATTTTCCATTTATGTATGAGGCAATGAGATCATTTTTTTCTCCACGAGGTTCGATATTTGACACGTCAGCAGCCGCATTGAACGTGGTGCTTTCATAGCCTTCAGAAATTTCGAACCCAAAAATTTTCTTTTTCTTCCGAGACACTTCAAAGGAAGAATGTCTGTCGAATCTCCATTTCTCTGCAAAATACAATGATTTCATAATATTAAACAAAAATGGAACAAAATATCACGGTACATTCAGATAAAACAAACTAAGCCAAATGCACAAATATCTCGACACATGTTAGCAAAGATACTTTTAAAGACTCACCAGTCAAGCCATAAGATGAATGCTCGATTTCATTCTTGTTATCCGAGGAAGCTTGAAAGAAATCTTTCATCACAAGATTAAAACCCGAGCACGGATTTGGAGATGTTTCATCAGAAATCTTTTTCTTCCCATAATCGTATTTACTCCAGTCTCCAAGACAATTGGTTCTTTTTACATACAAATCAAACCCCAAAGCTGTGGCTTTCGGTTGAGATATCCGAGCATCATCACCAAGAGATAATTTAGTATCTCTACTGTCCAAATGTCCGAGGTTGTCAGCTTCTTTCAGGAAAATACTGCTCGTGAACAACCGAGGCTCGTGAGTCGTCGAGCTTCGGGTGTTCTTGGCCGAGGGTAAAATTGGTATACTTTTATTATCCTTCAAAGAATCATCCTTTTCAAGTTCTCTTGATTTTATTTCGTTCATTAGCTCCCGTTGTCTTCCATAGAGACGGTGCAGTTCTCGAAGCTGAATAGGCGAAAAAAATGTACAAAAAAATATCAAATGCATAAAAAGTCTTTCATTCAACAAAAACATGTATTTGTTAAAATGTGATTTTCAAAAAAAAAAAAGGGTAAAATGCTCATATACCTGATTTTTAAAAATCGATTCGTGCTCGAGCATAGTCCTTCTCACTTTTTCAAGGTCACTTAAAAAGTAATCATCTTTACGCATGAAATTCGAGCCATTTTGTAACATGGGGTCATTATAATCGTGATATGAGGGTCCCACACCATTGTTCGTGCTCCCGTTAAGATCGACCGCAGAATGAAATTCGGGCAAAAATGCATTTGCTCGAACTTTAGTAGCCATTTCTGAAAACAAGGAGTATATATACTTTCAACCGAAACACTAATCAGACTTAGCTAACATAGAGCGAGATAATGAGAACTAAAAAAGTTACTATGTACCCACAAAACAACAATAATAATAACCAAGAATAATGTTTAAACCACCAAAAAAAAATGTGTTTTAACATAAAAAATGGTTCATCTTCCATTAGAGAAACAGTGTATATCAATTAGTTCCCTGTAGTTCCAAAATTTGCTAAAACACATCATAGCCAGTTCTTGGTATGATTATCAACAAATGTAAAGGAAACTATAGTAATATTGAGCAATTATTAATTATATGAAGAAACAGGATTAAGCAACAACATCATAATTCAATACCACAAGAAGGGTCAAAGCACAGAAGTTATCACTTTGACAGAACAAGTCATCCCAAATATAAAGAAATTTAAACACAGCAAGGAAGCAAAAAAAATATTAATAATAATAATAAAAAAAAAATGAACCCATATGCAAGTTAGACAATTACACAAACAAGAAGCAAGAACACAAATAAGGGAGATAAAAGTATATTAGAGAGTTAACTTAGAAGCATAAGAATTGTAGAACAGAGGATTACCTCAAACTCAGATTCTTTTCTTGACTTCTCTACAGCTTCATATATACAAATCCAAATTAATAATCCACAAAGAAGCAAAAATCTACCCGAAAAATAGAAAAAAATGGAGAAGAAAAATAAAATCTTTTCACAAGCTGAAATTCACCGAGCTAATAGGACAAAAAATCCAAGGACCCCAGATAAGAAAGATAGAATATTTGCATTGCCATTGGAGAGAACTTTCAAAAAAAAAAACACAAAACAAAAACTTATCACCAAAAACAAAAGAGAAAAAGGGAATTTAATTCTGATTAATCTGCATAAACTAGAGAGGAAAAAGAAAGAGGGAGAAATCCAAGATAAGATCTCTTTCTTACAAACACAAACATGAACAAAGTGTTTTTCTTACATAAAAAAGGATGACTTGGAATTTGTCAACATGTGGACTCTCGCCTTTATTTCTCTGTTACTTTCTTCTTCCTCTCTTGGCTTTGGAGTCAGTCAATCATTTCTTTCCTATTTGTCCATATAAAATAATATAATTATACTTGTTCTTCTTATTTTGATACGGATTTCTTGGTTTTTAGGAGGTGAAAGGTCATGGACATTTATTGAATTTTTTATCTTATTTTTTCTTCAGATTCCGTCAATTTCCATGCTTTATGGGCCACACATAACCCTGCGCGTGTGGGTACTGTCTGATATACAATACATAGATTCTAACACATATTATTGTGTGAGGTACCTAACCGTTAGGTTGATCGATCTGTTATATATGGCATGATAAAAATGCATACTTGTAGCGTGAAATATTATCATTCTTTGAATGAAGATGAGTTGTTCATGAACTCGGCTCAAGTTTGGCTCGATTCATTTGATAAGCGAGTCAAGCTCGTGCTCTCTTAAAGCTCGTTTCATTAACGAGTCAGGCTTGACTCACTTCGGTAAGGCTCGAAAATATAATTTTTATATAATTTTTATAGTCGACTCGTTAAAACTCGAGATCGGCTTGAATTCGGCTTGTTAATATTGTTAACCGAACCGAGCTCGAGCTTGATTTCTGGCTCATTAAGGGCTCAACTTCGAGCTTGGCTCATTTGCATCACTACTTCGGATATGTTTGATAAAACTAACTTATAAGCTAGTTGATAGTTTTAAGTGAATTTCGAGCTTATAGGTGATAGCTTATAATTTATGGCTGAAAATATAGTTCATATGATGAAAGTGTAATAAAATTAGTTGATAAGTCAACTGAAATGAAAAATTCAACGAGCTTATTTGAAAAACTACCTAAATAAATTTATAAGATAAACTCAAACTTTTTAAAACACTTATACTACCATATCAAACTTATATTTATACATAAAAAATTATATTTAATCAAATAAAGTAGAAGAACAAAATATTCTGAAAATTTTCCTTGGAGCATCCAATTCAAATCATCTACATGCTCCCTAGTCCCTGCTCACTGACCGTCTACGTGGCGCACGATTGAAATCCACGCTCTACCATAACATTGGACGATCGTGGCCAATGAATCTTCACATGCGTTTGGGCGCGTGAGGTTGTGGGATGTATTTGCGTCAGATGGAATGGAATGGCTTTAACATGGGAGAACTAAAACGACCTAAGTGGATATTTTATTTATGATGACAGATAATGACCTCAAAACTTATATTTGATTTCTCCATTTTGCCCCTGGTTAGTTGTTGACAAATCTTGGTAGGTTGGTACAAAGAGAGGTGTTATTAATAAACTAGTTTATTCATAATTCATGGTTAGAAAAGAGATTTAGAAAAGAGATTTCCTACTCTTTTTTCATATTTTATTTTATGTTTAACTTAATTGAATGAATGACACGTGTAAATGATGATGTCATATTTGTACACGTGTCAATCATCCAACGAAATTAAATGCAAGATAGAACACATAATTAGAATATGAAATCTAAACCCTTCATTGGTTAGACTATTGTGTAAAAGATTTATTATTTAAAAATTAGTTTAGTTTTAAAATAGAATTCTGAATAAAAACAAAATTAGGTATTTAGGTAACTTTGATATATATAAACTATTATATTGACTAATATGTGCATTTGCATGCATGTTCTAAAAATTTTAGGATATTTGGTTAAATATTTCAATCATAAATAAAATTAAAATGGTGCTCCACTTGTGACCCACTTGTGCATGACTTCATAAATATCGAGTGCTTTTGGTAGGAAAAAATAAGCTTTCGGCACATCAGAGGACTCTTCAGAGTTCAGATCCTCAACCAATTACCATCGTTTTCAAAATAATAATTAATTCCAAATTTTCCACAAATTTTCCAATTTTCACTTGAAAAAAAAAAATCAACCTTTATTTAATAATTAAATACTCCAACCTTATATTAAAAAAAAAAAATACTCCAACCTTAAATATGTTAGAATGAAAGAAGCAGTCGATGACTCGGCTAGTTTATGAGTCGGCTTGTTAAGATGCGAGCTCTATTCGTTAATATTGATAAATAAATAAAATTTCAAAATAGGAAATAGATATTGTGAAACAAGTATGACATATTTTTNAAAAAAAAAAAAAAAAAATAAAAAAAAAAATCGAGTTTTGAGCAAGGACCATTTAAACTACTATTAATATAGCTCAAACAGTGCCTTTCTTAAAGAATCGCCAAACTTTTATTGGGCCTATGAGGAGAGCAATCTTCTCCCGAAGCCCAATGACTTCCAGGCTGGTCCGCCCAACTAGGCAATACTCAGCCCATATCACGTGGGCAGATTTCACCTTTCAGTGACTGCAGTGTTTCATTCACCTGTTTCGTGATGATTGCGATAATGTTAATTAAGTTTTCATAGTGTTTGTTTGTAGGGGTGGGCAAAAAAAACTGGATTTTTCGATTTCGAACCGGACCGAAATGGTCCCGTTTCGAAAAAATAGAGTTCCAATCGGTTTTTAAAATTTTCGTACCGTTCCCAGTAACGAACCGGTTGAAACAATGTCGGTATCGGTTTTAAATATTTTTTTTCCGAACCGTCCCGTTTGTCCCGTTTTATTTTTTTTTGTAGGAAAATATTTTAGATATATATATATATATATTATACATTAATTTATATTTATGTTAGTATTATAATTAATTATTTTTCAACTTGTGTTTCTGTTTTTCAAATTTCAATTCAATCTTAACAGACTTTTTCTTTTCTCTTCTCCATCTCCATCGCTATACGATATTTAACTATAAAAAAAAACCCAACTTTATTTGTTTCTATTTCAACAGAGCTTCCATTAAAATAATCTCCCAGAATCAATCCACACTATAAACTGTAATCTCTATTGCATGTTCTTAAAATCCAACGCTATACAATATTTAACTATAAAACATAATTTCACCGACAATTATCATGAAGAAAATGAGTCGATAAGGACTTTACCCGTTTGAAGTTTGAACATTTTTTTATCCGTTTTGTCCCGGTCCCGATTGATACCGATCCGTTTAGGACGGGGTGTCGTCCCGGACCGGTCCCGGACAGATTCAAAAAACCGAGACAGGTACCGGGATAGGTCAAATCCCAGACCGTCCCGGACCGTGCCCACCCCTATTTGTTTGAGATTTTGGTGACATTTTGAAACTTTTTTGACAAAGACTTTAAAATTTATAGGTTGAACCGAGCATGTTTTTTTAAAGTTGGGCCGGTTTCAAACCACAACCAGAATTGACGGTTTGACTTTTTTTTTTAATGATCCGGGCGGATCTGGAACATGCGGTTTACCAAAATCAGCACGTACATATCTCTGGGCCGGTTCAGGGACTTCAAAACCGCGAACCGTAACCGGAAAATGACCATGTCTACGAAAAAATATCTTAGTAAATCTCAGTGTCAATTAAGTTAAATATCTCATAATTTGTTAGGGGCGGGATTGGATATAAATAAAATATATTTTAATTAAATTTATTGATTGAAGTTAGTTTTTTTAATAAAGTTGAATAAGTGGATGATTGAGTAATATTTGAGTTTGTATAGTTGATTAAAGTTGATAAATGTAATGATTCTAAGTTAACATTTGAGTTGTTATAAAAATGATTCAAGTTAATGTGATGTCAAAGTTAGAGAGATGTTATAGAAATGACAGGTAGCTAAAAATATGTGAGTTAATAAATAGTTGATTAAAGTTGATGTGATGTATAATTATGATCTTTTTTTTTTTACAAAAACAATACCCCAGATGGGTAGGGAGTTTTCTAGACAGGACCCCAATCTATATATAGTCAAGCCCAAAATAGGTTGGAAGGTCACAAATCTACAAGTTCAAAATACAAGTGACGGCAGCCGGTGACAAGAGAAAGAGAAAATAAAAAAGGTAAGGAAAACAACAATGTAAGGGGAAAATCTAGAACGACCTCCAAGAGAGGGTGAATTAATGTGAATGGGAGGGTGAAAGATCCGGTTCAGTCGTGTCGAACATTCATCACAAAGCTTCTGAAAGAGATGGTGAATTAATGTGAATAATATCTTTTTCTTTACCTAAAAAAGAGGCTCAACCTTATTTTGAGGTTGGACTTAGTTGGGCTCTTATAGGAAACGTGGGCTTCAGCAAATGGAGGTGGAATTGGGCTGATAGGGGCTTGTTGATCTTATCCATTAGTAAGTTTATGCAGTTAAAATTTTGTAAACGAATTTGGAATTCGGAGGTGGAAACTGGAAATTATTCGAGGGTATATGACTGACAAATCATGCAGTCTTGTTTGCATTTTATAATCGAAAATTATTTTATTTAATTATATATATAGGATTATAAATTGAGATTTACTAAATATTTTATTTCATATTTCTCGTGTTATTGTGTCATTTATTTATATAATCGTGCTTTCTAATCATCCGCATTCGAAGAGCCTAGTTGGTGAAATCGTTTGTTTAGAAAAATAATCGGTATTGACAATCAATCAACATTAAATTATTTCTTTTAAAAAATGAAAGTTTTAGAAAACATATAAAAATGGGAATTAAAACCTTTTGCTTCCAATTTTTTTTTTTCAAAAAGGAAATAAACACAAAGTTCTTTTCAATGGTTTTGTTACTTTTGTATCTCATTTCTAGAATGTCCAGCCAGTCCAGGTGTGTTTGAACATTGACTACTATTTCTTAAGGAAAGTCAATAATCATGTCATTAATTTTAGCATAAACAAATAAACTGAATTGCTAAATACCGCACCCATTTTACTAATACCGCACCCTAAAATGATAATTTTGCCCTTTATTCTTATTTTTTTTTTAAAAAAATGTCCCACCTTCTAACCTCTTTATCGGTCGAACCGAGCACCGAAAAATTCCGAAAATACCTCCAAATAATTCCGGCAAAAAAATGCTATCCAACAAGACCGGTCATGCGGCGGTCGACCGGTCAAACCAGCCAGTCAAACCGGCCCTAAACCGGTCAAACCGGCCGCACTGGAACAAAAAATTTAATTTTTTATTTATTTTTTTT